GTCTAGCACTTTTGGCAGCCTATTATTGTTACTGCCAGAAAGGGTAGGTACCTAGATCCCCAAAGAAAAGTTGACCAGAGGCTGGGTATGAGGGATATGTAGTCCATCTTCTCAAAGGGAAGCTGTTTAGAGGAGGGTGGAGAAAGGGGAGCCTTCAACATCTGAGAATGTCTTAGGACCATGTGTGTAGGTGCAGAGCAATTCAACTGCCTCACACCGATAGCCAGATTAGGTGGGTATCTTTATAATCAGCTCAGAAATCAACACTCAGCAGCTCTCTGAGATAGGAGAGCTAGAGGGAGATACAGGAAGTCCTGCAAGGAGAAACCACAGAATTAAGTTAGTTTGAGAAGAAGCTAGGAAAATTGTCTGTGGTGAACTCTTTGCATTCCTGACCCAAGGCTTTGTTTGGTATGGTTAGTGCCTAAAACAAAATACAAACAAAGGCAAACCTTGGGAATATGTTTTTTTAGGAAAGACCATACTGAGAGGACATATTGTGCAGTGGATCTGGCCCATTCACAAACTCCCTTGAAAGATAAACTGCTGGCACTAGAGGAAAGAACTTTGGTATCCCATGGAGGATATCAAACACAGTGCAACCAGAGGGAGAAGACTCAAGGTACTGAAGGGAGGAAGCAAGGGACTGTGAGAATGTTGTAGGGAGGGAGGCATCAACAAATGTGTCTAAGTATCTGAAATTTTGTAGGCATATCCAATGTGTTAATGTGCTCTTTTATTGTGCCATAAAGTCTATCTGCATTCCCCTGTGTACTTGCTTTACATCTAAGTGAACTGACTTGTTCTATGCAATTCCATGTTTAAAAAATATATAAAAATGCAGAATCCCCCAGAATTCAAAAGCACCAAAATAATTCTATGAGTTTGGAAGAGCAAAGAGCACTGTGTATATTTCTACTGGCACAAAATTGGTAGTTCTTTTATTTTTACAGTTGGCAACAAGTTCTCTTCATTCTTCAAAATTATTGACCATCTGCCTTGTATAAAATTTCTTAAATCGTGTTAACATTTCTGTCATATTATTCTACCATTTTTTTACTGTGTTTGTTTTACTAATCTAAATATATTAATTTTAGTAATGCATTAATACTCACATTACAAAGATATTGTGATTACCTCTCAATATCTGACAGGAGACAGAAAGAGAGGAAAAGGTGGATAGTGTCTGAAGTATTTACAGAAAGGCATGTACAGTGAGATAGTTTGATAATGAGACAGACAGCAGGAACTCCATTGAGTAAGGACACAGAGCATGAAAAACACAAGGTGAAACTGTTATCTGTGCCTGACACATACAAAACATCTTTGAATAAGCTACCCACATGTATGAAACCACAGGACTGAACTGATGGTGGACTTTACGAGTTTGGCACAAAAATAAAACATGCATCAGAAGAATTATAGAAAAAAATCTGTCTTTAGGAGGAACTGTTCAAATTTGAGACTAAAAAACCAAAAACAAGTAAGGAGGAATGGAAATGAAACAAGAATTTGGCTCTGAATCTTCCTTTCAGTTCCCCTAGTCCTAGGGCAGCCAGGGGCTGCTTTGACCCTAGCATAATTTAGAGCAGCCTAAGTGCTGATCTAAATTATGTCAGCTGCAGAAGTCCCTATAGGGACTACTCCACTGACCAGTGATTTGTCAGAGTACAGTGTACTTTAGCCTTGCTCCAACACACACCCTACACAGTGGGAAGGAAGAGCAGGTGCTGATAGAGCTGGCTATGCCAGCTTTGTCACCCAGGGGATTCCCTTATAGCAGGGAAATACCTGGCTCCCTCTTTAGGGCAGCACACAAGGGAGAGAATTATTCCAGGAGTGGGTGGGTCAGCTTTTGTGGCCTGCATCATGCGGGAGGTCAGACTAGATGATCATAATGGTCCCTTCTGACCTTAAAGTCTATGAGTCTACAATCACTGAAGTTTGGACTGAGGATGTGGCCTGGGAGAGACAGTTGAGGGTTGAAGGAAAAAATAAAGATGAATGAGTTAAGTCTAGCCAAACTGGTTCAGCAAGTAAGACCTCTAAAGAATACCTGGGAAAAAGAAATACTAGACATACAATGTGCCCATTTAAACAAGAAGAAGGGTTAACTCTAAAAGCGTATCTAATGTGGCTGAAATCAGCATTCTTTAAACAGAAAATTGAAGTAGTCATCAATCAAAGGTTGTGCCAGTACAGCAGGTGAGGAAAAACTGGCTGTAAGCACCAGGAAGGTGAGAGAAACAATACAACAGGTCCTAGAGATATTAGAAAAAAAGAGATTACTCCCCTTGCATGGTAAGGCCTATGGGTAGGGCTCTAGATGAGGAACTTTCCATGTGAATCCTTTCATGACAGGTTTCCATGTGAATCCTTTCATGACAGGTTTCCATGTGAATCCTTTCATGGAGATTCCTCCCACACTACAAGGAGGATGTGGAAAAATTGGAAAGAGTCCAGCGGAGGGCAACAAAAATGATTAGGGGGCTGGAGCACATGATTTATGAGGAGAGGCTGAGGGAACTGGGATTGTTTAGTCTGCAGAAGAGAAGAATGAGGGGGGATTTGAAAGCTGCTTTCAACTACCTGAAAGGGGGTTCCAAAGAGGATGGATCTAGACTGTTCTCAGTGGTAGCAGATGACAGAACAAGGAGTAATGGTCTCAAGTTGCAGTGGGGGAGGTTGAGGTTGGATATTAGGAAAAACTTTTCCACTAGGAGGGTGGTGAAACACTGGAATGGGTTACCTAGGGAGGTGGTGGAATCTCCTTCCTTAGGTTTTTACGGTCAGGCTTGACAAAGCCCTGACTGGGATGATTTAGTTGGGGATTGGTCCTGCTTTGAGCAGGGGGTTGGACTAGATGACCTCCTGAGGTCCCTTCCAACCCTGATATTCTATGATTCTATGATCATCCTATGGGCAGGGAGTGTTGGAAAAGGCCACTGAGCCCACCCCAAACATCCCCAAGAATCAATGGAAGGCCAGGGCCGCCTATGCAGACACTGCTGCTGAACCAGCTCTGGTCCTGAGGGAGGACTCAGCTGAAGAGATAACATACAGCCTGGGGCCATAGTCTTTCCTGTCTGAGCTCTTTAGAGCTGGACAGGAAACAACATTTCCCTCTACCCCCTTCTTTCTCCTAGCTTGCCCAGTCTTCCCCATTTCCTTCACCAAGTCCCCATAGGGCTCCTCATGGGGTCTAGCAGAACGGGTATGTGACTGTGCATGCAGTAAGTGGAGCCCACTTTCCATGCAGGAAGGAGATCTATGCAAGGAGGGTCCACTCTGTGCACAGAACTTGGGTTAAGTATGATCAAAGCCAAAGGCAGAAAACAGCAAAATGAGATTCTACCTGGAAATATGCAAGCTTGTATTGCTGGGGAATAATAAATGAAACAGATCTTGAGAGACAGAAATTTTGAAACAAGTAATGCAGAAAAAGACTTACTTGTGACAGTGGATAGCAAATTAGATGAGCTCCAATTTGATATGGCAGTAAAAAAAGTCAATGTGATATTGGACAATATAAGCAGATGCATCATGTCATGGCCAGGGAGATGACAGTTTCTCTCTGTATGAACAAACAGACCACAACTGAAACGCTGGGTCAAATGTCTCACTGGTATAATTTATCATCCATGGAGTTAAACCAGGGATAATTTTGGCCCATCATGTTCAGTTCTGGGTACCTTAATACTAGAAAGATGTAAACAATTTGGAGGAAATTCAGAGAAGAGAAATGAATAGTTTAGGGCAGCTGGGATTTACTTATGAGAAAAGATTTAGAAAAAAACTAAGAATCTTGGCCAAACAGCTAATGGAGGATATAAAGATGTAAGCCAGAAAGAAGAGAGAGGAAAAACTTTAAGTGTTATCCAAGGGGATATATATTAGGACAATACAGGGAATAATCATTCTGTAAGTCTAGCTAGATCAGTAAGACTTCCTTATATAAATATTGTTCCAATGTCTCCAGACATCTTGTGGTACTCAACACCATGTCCCTAGACATAATACTCACACTAGATATCCTTTCCTTAAACTCTTTATCTTGTTCTTTCCAATCCTTCTGCTATACTTTTTTACAAGTGACTGAATTCAAAGGCCCTCTTGCCCACTCCAAATGCTGTACATTTTGGTTTCATAATTAATACTCTGTGTGAATAAGGCTCTAAGGGTGTATATCCAATCTGAGACATCACCCACTTGGTAATCTGAAAATATGCATAATTTAAATGAATTTCTTTGGAATATAAAAATAAAAACGTATCTCATAAGCAGTGCTATCACCATAAAGAGTCAAAAATGAGGTGATATCACAATCTCCTTGGAGCATGCTGTATTGTCTTCTAGGCCCATCCCATTCAAATCCACATTCTCTCTTCACTCCTGCTCCCTCCCCAACTCTCAAGATGTTTCTTTTCCTCACTTTCTGATACCTTACCTATTTTTTTACGCTGTGTAGTTCTGAGTGGTTTTCAGCCAGTAGCAGTATGGGAAGGGCCTTGTCAGTCTCAGTGTGACACTAATATATAGTCTCCTCCATCCCACCTTTTTTTTAATAGGTGCATGGGCCATCACCATCTCCACTCAAAGCATTCTCACCCCCTAAACCACAGATCAAGACCTCAGATCAAAGAATTGCCCTCCCCAACCCCAATTCTCCTCTTTAATTCCCCCTACCCTGAGTCATAGATTACTGTCCCACACTCCAACATTGTGTTCCTTTCAGGCCAACAGAATTAGTACCCTCCGGCCCCACTGTCTTCTCCTTCCTACAGCCAATTGCCAGAAGAGGGAGTCCATCCACACTGAGAATGGGATTTTGCTACCCAATAGAATTGCCCTTTAGATTTCATACCAGCCTCATGTTTGTGCCTGCTGCATCTCTGCCAGAACTGATTTTGTCAATCATTCAGGAGAAGCAGCACTGAAACAGCACCACTCTCTTCACTTTCACCACTATGGTGCAGGCAGCATATTATGACTGACCGGAGTAAAGCCTACAAGTATGCATCAGCAGCAGGGAAAAGTGACCAAGAGAAAAATAAATACGAAAGCTCGCAGCAGGAAGGAAATCCAGAGAAGAGGCGGGAGGTGGAACACAACAGAGGGAAGATGACACCTTTTAAAATTTGTTTTCATTTGAAAAATATTGCTAATGTATAGTTTTCTTCCTATTAACCATTATCTGTGGGGAAAAATACATTTAAAATAATGGAACGCTCAATTTTATAACTGAATAAAAAATAAGGGTTTTTCTGCTCATTTAAAATGCCTCTCCCTCCAAAACACCTTTTCGGATAGAGGAAGATCCTTTAGAGTAAACCTCTAAATTTGTTCTAAAACGTGCACTTTAATACTTTACCCTTGGTTTCGTATTGCCCATTTCCCAGCCCTTGTCTTCTTTAGCCTAGATCTTCAGGGTGGGGGCAATCTTTTATTATGTGTCTGTGTAGCACCTAGCACAAGAGGGCACCAGTTCCTGTTGAGGCCTCTAGGTGCTATTCTGATACATATAAGTAAATAAAGACAACAGGAATCCCTGGTTGATAGCAGAGGCAGGGTGGCTCTGGGCTGACATGTGGGACACAGCCAAGCAGAGAGAATTCACAGGTATAGGGCACCGCACCAAGTGAAAATCTGCCTTTACCTCTAGAAGTATGTTGAGTTGGTGAGAAAAGAGCAGGATCCACAACAGACCTCACTTCTAATAAGGAGCAAGATCTAAATCCATTAGCTGGCTGCTGGGAAGAATTGCTTGTTGGCGAGATAGCCAGCCAGCTGCTTCTTAAGAGCTACATGAAGCAGCAGAAAAGCTTTTATCCACAGAATGATGTCAGGTGTACAGTGCAGTTAAGGGGCTGGCTTCTTTCTCTAGCAGCTGCAGCAGCATGCTTCTCTCACATACTTCTAGTTCCTGCATATATATCTGGGTGATAGGATAGGACTGAGAGAGGGCAGCCAAAAGTATCCTCTTCTTTCCCGCTTTCCGACAGTTATGGCCCTAGCAGCTAGCAGGCCAATGCCCAACCATCGTCTCAATCAGCCAGCTGGTTGGAGGTTTTGATTTCCTTTCCCTGCAAATTACCTACTAGAATGGTCCTCTTGTCTCCTCACCGGCTCCTTCATTTTCACTTACCTGCTGCAGAGAAGGAATAATAAATAAAATAGTAATAAAAAAAGAAAGATGGGGAGGGGATTTCCTCTATGTCCCTGTATAGCAATTAGGTTACTGCCTGTCAAATATCTGCTGTGGTCAGTGTGAGAACAAAGAATGACTCCAACCCCTGCCTTCAACCAGAAAATGGAGGAAAGGGCTAGAAAACAAGCAATATAATTTAAAGTGTAAAGTTGTAAAGCCGAAGTTTTAAAATATACTCAAATTTCAGGTGTGTCTACTCTATAGGAACTTCCTAGATTAAAAAAGGGCAGTTGGAACTTGAGAGAGGAACAAACGTTATGCTCACAATTCACAAGTACTACTGTGCATATCTGAAACTCAAAGAAGAGACAATTTACTTTCAGAGCTCACCCACAAATGAACTATAGAATTTTCCCTTATTAGACTCATCCAATCTGTATTTCTAGATGGTATTAAGGAGTCCAAACATGTTCACTATTGACTGAACATCCATTCTGTCACACTACATTAATTTTAATAGACCCTCTTGCCAATACACCTTAGTAACAATGTGCTCAATCAGATTTTCTCTGCCCACCATAAATTCTAGGGTGAATTAGGAAAGGGTCTGTTAAAGGATGATACAGGCCATTCTTTTGTGATGGTTTGCAGTTTTCTCTCCCAATACATTTTCTTTTTATTTAGCACTTCCATTTTTATCCTGTGTTCCTCTTCAGCCATCTCACACTCCCTTTCTATCTGTTGTATTTTTGCCACATGCACTTCATTCATTTGTATCAGCTGCAGTTGTAAAATTGACATTTGCTGGTGATGCTCTTCCTCGTGCATCTTTTTCAAAGCTCCCTCCTGAGTGGCTTTACTTCGGTAGTTTTTATTCGCTGTTATTCTGACAGCTGAACATGAGGGCTCAGGTTGGGAGGTGCCTTCACATATTGGGAAATGTACTATCTCTTTCTCTTCATCACACAGTTCTCTGTTTGAGACAGCAAATGACTCTGCAAAAAACAGCAAAAAACCCTGTAAGATACACAATCATGCTGATTGAAAAAAAGAGGGTAAGGAATAACACAGTCATCGGTCAACACATCACATGCACACCTTGTGTTTCTGTAATGTAATGTAGGAGCCACCAGGTGACACAGTCTAAATATTTAGCATTCCCTTTATATTTTGACAGAGCATGTGATAAGATTTTCAATCTCTCTCCGAGAATTGTATCTGAGGTAAGGAAGCACTGGCTCCTACACTAAACTAGAGATTTAGTATGCTATTTACCCCTTAAGCACCACTCCCGTACACCCCAGAAGTATGCATTTTTACATCAATTTATGTAGAACCAAATTACATCAACCTTATTTTGAGATATGCCTTATTAGTGCAATTGAAATGAATGGGACTATTTGTTCAACAAAACACTACTGAGACTAAAGGTGTTAGGAAATAGGAGTACTGTTACAGATCACCACCATCATGTGTGTACCATAAATAGAATATTAACAATTACAAAAACAAACAGATCACTTTGTTTAGAGAAATATTAGGTAACAATGCAGTCAACTTTTTCTTTTTAGGGAGGGATACCAAGTTACAGGATGATCCTTCTTACACAACCCAAGACACATCGCCTCACCTTATTTGTGCAAAGAACTGTATTTAGACAACAACAAACCAATGCAAATCCATTATACTTATTTCATTTGTTTGTTTTTTTTAAAATAGTAATATTTCTTTAGCAGGTGAGTGCATTCTCTCTTAGTAGTGAATAAATGATAAGCAAATGCTATGGTAATACAAATAAGTAATAATCACTAAGTATCTCCCCTTTCTCTAATTTTACTGTGTATGTACTTGATATACTTTTTATAACACTTTTTTAGTCATTTATTTAATTTGGTCAATTTTTTCATTTCCAGTGACAAGCAACCAATAGTCTAGTGGTTACTAACCTATGAGAGATTAATTCTTTATTTCTTTGAATAAGACCATCTCTACTAGTGGCTCTTTTGGTTTTCAAATGCATCTCAATGCTTTCATAAATCTCATTCAAATCCTTCCTGAAACCCCTTTCAGTACATCATTTACCAAGAACGTGTTTTAACACCTTTCTTGACCTATCAGGACATATGTAGTCAAACCTGAAGCAATGTTTAATCATGTCTTTAGCCTATGCCCTTTCTTGCCCCTTTTCTTGCAGGTTGTAACTTCACTTGTCTCTTAAGACTATAATCTAAACAGAAGCTTTTTGGAGCATGGACTTGTCTTATGTTTCCTGTGAAGTATATACCACACTTGTGTACACTACAAAATAAAATAATAAATACTAATAATCTTGTAGGAATGCTGGAAATCAGTGATTTTCATCTGGAAAGCAACTGACAGGTTATGTGGAGTTAAATCTAAGTAGTAATGAAAAAGGATTATTTTTGTACATTATGTAAGTGGTTTCAAGCCATCTGTGCACTTTCAGTAGAATATATTTTATTCATTTCCTCTCTAGAAGCACAGGTAATAGATTTTATCTTGGCAGTGGAACTGCGTGCATGGGTGGTGAGAAATGCTGGGGCTATTTGTCTTCTCATGGCCCTGGAATAGGAAATATCTCAGTATGCAATTTTTTTAAATATTTGATCATGCCCAAGTCTCTTAAAAAAAAGTTAACCACTGATGCTCAGAAAACTATCTGAATTTCAAGAAGTCTCAGTATGCCAAATCAATGTCCCCAATCTGTTGTCCTTTTGATAAGCTAAAATGAGACAGTGCTAGAGTTTGTTTATCCTATTCTAATAGAACTGGAGTTTTGGTGCCTGGAGATCAATATTATTCCATTTGAATTCAATAAAATGGCACTTTCTGTGACAAATGGTGCAACAGAAAAGGAGCTACAGAATGGGAAACTGTTTAGCTGCTGTGGATGAATGATAACCATTAAGATGGTAGTCTGGCTCATTCACTATTTCAAGACGTAGGAAATCTTTCAGGGTGAGTAGCACCTCTATCTTACAGGATGTAACATCTAGTTTTTATCCCACACTCTTTCTGTAAGAGGTTGAATACCACAGCTGAGATATTTACCTGAGTGGAGAAGAGGGTTAAATAAGGAGTCAATATTTTCAAATCTCAGAGACAAAAAGGGTTGGCAGTGTCAAAGTTTAAAGTGCACTAGTGTGCTACACTATTACATCAAGTCTTCATGGTGCCACAGGATGGAGAAGGAGATGACATTTTTACGGTGAGCTATTTACAAGAGATAGTAGTGAATGATCCCTCAGAGGTAGTGCCAGGGTCAACATAGTAACCTTTGGTTCAAGTTGCATTAAATTTTTATATTGAAAGAGTTTACTTAAGAACATAAGAATGGCCATACTGGGTCAGACCAAAGGTCCATCTAGCCCAGTGGCCAATGCCACTGACAGTGGCCAATGCCAGGTGCCTCAGAGGGAATGAACAGGTAATCATCAAGTGACCCACACCCCGTCGCCCATTCCCAGCTTCTGGCAAACAGAGGCTCGGGACACCATCCCTACCCATCCTGGCTAACAGCCATTGATGGACCTATCCTCCATGAACTTATCTAGTTATTTTTTGAACCCTGTTATAATCTTGGCCTTCACAACATCCTCTGACAAAGAGTTCCACAGACGGACTGTGGGTTGTGTGAAAAATTACTTCCTTTTGTTATTTTTAAACCTGCTGCCTATTAATTTCATTTGGTGTCCCCTAGTTCTGGTGTTATGAGAAGGAGTAAATAACACTTCCTTATTTACTTTCTCCACACCAGTCATGATTTTATAGACCTCAATCATATCCCCCCTTAGTAGTCCGTTTTCCAAGCTGAAAAGTCCCAGTTTTATTAATCTCTCCTCATACGGAAGCCGTTACATACCCCTAATCATTTTTGTTGCTCTTTTCTGAACCTTTTCCAATTCCAATATATCTTTTTTGAGACCGGGCAACCACATCTGCACACAGTATTCAAGCTGTGGGTGTACCATGGATTTATATAGAGGCAACATGATATTTTGTCTTATTATCTATCCCTTTCTTAATGATTCCCAACATTCTGTTCACTTTTTTGACTGCCGCTGCACATTGAGTGGATGTTTCAGAGAACTCTCCACCATGACTCCAAGATCTCTTTCTTGAGTGGTAACAGCTAATTTAGACCCCATCATTTTATATGTATAGTTGGGATTATGTTTTCCAGTGTGCATTACTTTGCATTTATCAACACTGAATTTCATCTACCATTTTGTTACCCAGACACCCATTTCTGTGAGATTCTTTTGTAGCTCTTCGCAGTCTGCCTGGGACAACTATCTTGAGTAGTTTTGTATCATCTGCAAATTTTGCCAACTCACTGTTTACCCCTTTTTCCAGATCATTTATGAATATGTTGACTAGGACTGGTCCCAGTACAGACCCCTGGGGACACCACTATTTACCTCTCTCCGTTCTGAAAACTGATCATTTATTCCAACCCTTCGTTTCCTATCTTTTAACCACTTACCAATTCATGAGAGGACCTCCCCTCTTATCCCATGACAGCTTACTTTGCTTAAGAGCCTTTGGTGAGGGACCTTGTCAAAGGCTTTCTGAAAATCTAAGTACACTATATCAACTGGATTCCCCTTGTCCACATGTAGTAGATTGGTGAGGCATGATTTCCCTTTCCAAAAAACATGTTGACTCTTCCTCAACAAGTTATGTTCATCTATGTGTCTGACAATTTTGTTCTTTATTATAGTTTCAACTAGGAGAGAGATCACTTGATCATTACCTGTTAGGTTCACTCCCTCTGGGGCACCTGGCATTGGCCACTGTCGGTAGACAGGATACTGGGCTAGATGGACCTTTGGTCTGACCCAGTATGGCCATTCTTATGTTCTTAGTTTGCCCAGTACTGAAGTCAGGCTTACTGGCCTGTAATTGCCAGGATCACAGGCTATGGAGCCCTTTAAAAAAATCAGCGTCACATTAGCTATCCTCCAGTCATTTGGTACAGAAGGTGATTTAAATGATAGGTTACAAACTACAGTTAGTAGTTCTGCAATTTCACATTTGAGTTCCTTCAGAACTCTTGGGTGAATACCATCTGGTCCTGGTGACGTATCGCTGTTTAGTTTATCTATTTGTTCCAAAACCTCCTCTAATGACACCTCAATCTAAGACAGTTCTTCAGATTTGTCACCTAAAAAGAATGGCTCTGGTTTGGGAATCTCCCTCACATCCTCAGCAGTGAAGACCAATGCAAAGAATTCATTTAGTTTTTCCACAATGGCCTTATCGCCCCTGAGTGCTCCTTTATGCTCTTGATCGTCCAGTGGCCCCACTAGTTGTTTAGCGGGCTTCCTGCTTCTGATGTACTTAAAAAAAAACTGCTATTACTTTTGAGTCTTTGCCTAGCTGTTCTTCACTTTTTTGGCCTTCCTAATTATATTTTTACACCTCACTTGCCAGAGTTTATGCTCCTTTCTATTTTCCTCACTAGGATTTAACTTCCACTTTTTAAAGGATGCCTTTTTGCCTCTCACTGCTTCTTTTCCTTTGTTTGTTTAGCCACAGTGGCACTTTTTTGGTTTTCTTAATATGTTTTTTAATTTGGAGTATAAATTTAAATTGAACCTCTATTATGGTGTCTTTAAAAAGTAGCCATGCAGCTTGCAGGGATTTCACTTTTGGCACTGTACCTTTTAATTTCTGTTTAACTAACTTCCTCACTTTTGTGTAGTCCCCCTTTCTGAAATTAAATGCTACAGTGTTGGGCTGCTGTGGTGTTTTCCCCACCACAGGAGTGCTAAATTTAATTATATTATGGTCACTATTACCAGGCCGTAGCTGAGAACTACTATGCAGGGGTTGTAAATTTACACTATAAAATTTAAAGATCATTCTTAGAGAACCCATGATATCTCCTAAGCCAGTGCAGTGCAAAACTTACTGAATAATACCTCATACACCTAGCCAGCCAGAAAAGCTTTGATCTATTTTGCTGTGA